TGAATTCTTTTCTGTCTCTTAAAGACCTGAACAGTCAGCATGATACAGTAAAAAGAACACTAACTTTATATTTAGAGGACCTGAGTTCAAATCATGATACTTACTATCTGTGTGACCTTGATGCAATCATTGAACTTTCCTGCACCTCAGTTTCCTCATCAGATTCAGAGCAAATACCTTCAATTAGTTTCACCACAACCATGTTTTGACTGTTACTAGCTTTCATTCAGTGCTTTATCTTGTCTTTTGACAGAAAAATGAAGGGTTTCATGGCCCCTGAGATCTCTTCCAGATATATATCTGAGAGCTAGTGCACTTTTACTGCCACCTTCCAGAGAGTCCACTAGGGCATACTTTCCCTGCCTATTGTACACCTTTCAATAGGTACTTCCTTTCCTATTCAGGATGTCTTTCTTTATACCTGAGTCACTAACTACCACTTTACAGGATCTAGGATGCTGAGTCTATTGAGCATTCATACCTGTTTTCCTTTTGGTTGCTGCTGTTTGTTCTTCGTTCTCGAAGAGGACCATGACATCGGGAAGTTGATGCCATGACTTGCAAGTGAATTGGATTTAAATGAGGGAGGGCTGTGCAAAGTCACCTTCTCCTCAAGAGCCATCTGGGTCCAGTGGCAAGATATAAATCAGGATGACTGGAGATGACCTTGATCCTTTTGGTGAAGGGATTAGATAAATAGAATATTTACATTGGTCACTATTCATCTACTCTCCAACTCAGTTTATTCTGAATTATAATGCTTAATTAGATTTCTAGCCATCACAGCTTTTCCAGCTCAGGTCTAGCTCTAAAGTCTATAACTAATTCATTCTCTTCCTATTCTTATTTAATCATGAGATCCTCTGACATCCAGTTTGCTTCTTCATCTGCCATTCTCCATCAACCCCAGTCATCTCCAAAGCCAACTCCACCTATCCCAGACCTATTCCTTATTATGTATTCACAAAGAACAGCTAGGGTTTTTACTAGGTGTTGGAAGTTGGCAAAGATGATCTTTCCAGACAATGACCTGATAGCAAAGCACTTAAATTTATTAATATTTATAATTTAGAAAACTCAACATACCAATGTTTTCCCATTTACCCTCTAAATTGCTCCTATTTGGGGAGGGAAGTTAAATCAAGGGAAGCAAAATGTTTAGCTGGAAGAGTACTAACACTGGAATTAGTAGACCTCAATTTTAATACTAGCTCTGACACTTGCTAGATGTTTGAAAATATACTAATCACTTAATTTCTATGAGCCTCAGTTTCTCTAGCAGTAAATGGAGATTATATTTGTACTATCTGACTTACAGGGCTATTATAAGCAAAATACTAAATAGCATTTAAAGCAATGTATAAAAAAGAGTTGTTATTATCAGCAGCAGCAGCAGCATTATTACTGCAAAATAAGGATTTAGATTATACAGCTTTTTTTCAAACTGTGTTCCAGAGAAACCTGGGCTTTTGTAAACTATTTTTGTAAAATAGTTTGATTTATTTCAAATGTAGATCAGCTAAAGAGGACATTGATTCAGTGTTTGATGTTTTATTATACGATCCAAGAAGTTTTATAGAAAGGGTATCGATCAGTCCACAAACCTGAAAATAGATTCTTGATGTGTCCATCTATCATGAATGAAATAGCTCTGTGTAATAGTGCTTACTCAGACAAGAAGCTAAATCAATGTTTCCTTATATCTCTTCCCCAACAGAAAAACTGATGTCCTCATTTCAAAAAATTTAACATGCAAATGAGAAGGGACAGTTTTATTAAAGACATTGGAAGCAGAACAGCTGCTACTCAGGCTTAGGTCTTCTTCATTCAACCTTCCTCCCAAAGGGGGCTGTTAAAACACTGTTCATGCTGTTTATGGCTGAGTAAATGGTTGCTCTGGGTCAGCATATAATTAGGTACTTACTGGTCTATAAAATGACCCTTCTGGTTGCGTTTTTTTTTTATCTTGCTCCTATCAGAAAACTGTCATGGAGTGAAACAAAATATGCGTCCGTGCAAAAGAGAAATTATGACAAATTCTAGAGAGAAATATGCAATTTTTAGTGGAAAATGCCAAAACCCTGGTTGACATTTGATCCTAATATTACTAATATTGCATTAAAAGATAGCCTCTTCAATTTCCTCAGTTTGATGATATGCAGAACTGCACTCCCATAATAACTGACATTTATGGAGCATTTAATGGTTTACAGAGCACTTTCTTTACAACAGCCCTGGGAGGAAAGTAAGTGTTATTGTCATCTCCCTTTTATAGATATTAATAACAGTTCACATTTATATAAGTGCTAAAAGATTTACAAGGTTTTTACATGCATTATCTCATCTGATCCTCAGTACAATGTCACATTGATGCTATTATTCATTCTGTCACACAGGATAGGGAAACCAAAGCTCAGAGAGGTTCAGTCACTTGCCTGTGCTCACACAGCTAGTAAGCATCTGAGGTAGAATTTAAAGCCAGATCTTCTTAACTCCAAGTCAATTACTTTAGTCACTATAGTGTACTAGGAAAAAAGAAGCTCAGAATGATTATTTGCCATGGTTTACTCAGCTAATGAGACCTATGATTAGAAATTATACCTATCCTAACTCCATTTCAACAATTCAGTTCACATGTATTAAGCTTTCCAGCTCTGTTCTAGGCCTTATGCTAGGAACTGAGAATATAAAGGAACAGTGCCTACCCTCAAAAGGCTTATAACTTACTATGGGGGAAAGAACATATAAGCATGTGTAAATACAAAATCTGAGAAAAAAAGAATACGTTAAAAACTAGGAGGATTAGGAAAGGTGTCCAATGAGAGAGGATACCTCTAAGTGTTGAAGAAAGCTAAGAATTCCACAAATGAAGGAGTGGATTCTATTTGGGAGTGGGGGCAGTCTATGCAAAGGAATGGAAGGGAAAGGTAGAACTTTGTGTTTTAATTATATCTGACCCTTTGTGATCCCATTTAGGGTTTTCTTGGCAAAGATACCAGAGCGTTAATCAACTTACCTGGGGGTCACACAGCTAGTAAGCTTCTGAGGCTAGATTTGAACTCATGCCCTCATAACACCAGAGGGTCACTCTATACACTGTGCCACCCACGAGTGAATAATGTGAAAGTACCCTAAAAAGGTAGGCTAGAGCCAAATTGTGAAGAAGTTTAATTGCTAAATTGAGTATTTTGTTCAGTGTTCTCCCAATATATCACACTGCACCTTAAGAGGATACCAACTTTTTTCAGTGCTAAGCATGAGAAGAATCAAGTTAGTCTCAAACTACTTCACTGAAACTCTTCTTATCATAACATAATAAATATAGAGTTAGCAGGAACCCCTTAATTTTACAGATGAGGAAACTGAGGCCCAAGGATTGAAAGATAATAACTGACATAAGATTTGAACCCAGATGTTACTGACTACAAGTCCAACTCTAGGTCTTAAACAAAGAAATGGTGAATGTTTCTTTTTTATCTAATGAGCAGAGTCCTGAAAAATGTTCATTGTTTCTCCATTGAGATAAATTCTTGTCTATTAATTATTGAGAAACGCTGTTTATGAGATGCACAAGAAAAATGAATCTAAAAATAGCACTTCAAAAGTTGTTTCTTTAACATCTTGAGTACTAAGGAGGACTATCTAAACTTTTTAGATGTTTTAGCCTGTTTTAGATGTAATGGGTTGAGGGGAAGAAATAAATAGCTGTCCTATAGCTGATCTATTTTGTATATTGAGTCTTTTTTTTTTTTTCAAGGTCTCTGTTAATCTTTCAGGGGAAAATCTAAACAGGGGCCATTTTGAGGCTTTGATTTAGAGATTTTCCCTGTAGTTTTACTCTGGGGTCGGAGCATAATGAGCCAGAGAGTGAGAAAAAAGTGTGATCCCTTTTCTTTGGGGTCAGGCTCTCCCAGGATCGAACTCCGTCGGTCTGAATCCAGAGCTGGGCCCCTGAGTGGGAAGAAGGCATACCCCAACAGACAATGCAACAGAACTACAGGGTTTCATTCATAGCTCCCTAAGTATCTCTTTTGTCTCATCTCCGGTTCTTTTGATTTCTTTAATCCTTTTCAATTTACCCAAGCATTCTTTGTTTACCCATCACATCTTCCTAATCCATCGATCTATCTTCAGAGTAATATACAAGATCAAAAGGAATTAGATGTGCACATTTTTCAAGTTATTTTTATATTACATACATCTACTTCTTTCACTTAGGGAGAAAATCTTAATTTTCAGAATAAACAAACCCTTTCAGGTCTACGAGGTTTTCTCAGCCCAAGAAAGAGGTGTGCAATGTTGATGGACAGCAGTTAGTTACAGAAGTCATCCCTTCCCAAGAAAAGGAATCAATTTAATGCTAGCGTGGTTCAACCCAGCCCTAGAGGGAGGGGGATAATGGCAGGTTGGACTGCACGGATCCAGAACTGAGAATGAAAAATTCTTTCCTCACAAGAAGCCCATAGGTCATTCGGGATTACTGCACCGTTCAGTCCCTACGGAATCCAAACACCAGAGTTATGAGTGCTCTTATCATCTCAAAAATAAAAATAAAAACGACAATGATATTTGTCGAAACCGTAAAAGTCTGGTATTTCCATCCCACTGGCAAGTTTGTCGATAGACACTCAAGAGTCGGGAGAAGAGGAAAGAGATGAAGGGGATCTCTGACTTAAAACCATTGCGAAAAAGCCTCCTGTGAGTTTCGTGCTCCTGCATTTCTCTCTATCCCCAGGTCTTCCGGACTTTTGATCTGCAAGGGCCGTGCCCAGGAGACCAGGCTAGGAGACCGCCTCCGGACTTTGTGAAAACCCGATACCTGCTTTTTTTCTCTTCTCCCCCGATATCCTCCCACCCCCTTCCTTTGTAAGTCGGGGATACAGTTAGGAGTTGCCGCACACTGGAGTAAGAGGGGTCGCGTGGCAGGTTCTCGCTGCCCAGCTCTTTCCTCCATCCCTTCTTGCCCAGGATCCCCCAGCTTGGTCCGATATAGGACTCACCTAACTTGCACTCGCCATCGTGAGCCTTGTGAACACGCTCGCGGCCAGCCCTCACCGAGATCCAACTGTGCAGGTGCAGGGCGCACACGCTCTGGTAAGAACGGCCGTCCGACCCGCACACGGCGCCGTCCTCCTTGCACACACACAGCCCCGTGCCCTCCAACTCCTCAGGCAGTGACTCCTGGGACGCGGCAGCCCCCAGTACCTCCCGGGACTGGCTTACGCAGACAAGTCCCGGGCCGCAGCGGGCTTGGTGCCTCCGGCTCGCGCCACTTCTGCCCCCGCACAGCTCGCCCTCGGCGCCCAGGCACTGCTCACAGCATCCACAGTCGTCCCGCACCGAGAGCTCCGGAGCCTTGCATCGCACCGGTTCGCAGTTCTCGGGGATGCACTGACCGCACTCATTGGTGTTACCGCTGTCTTTTGCCCCTATCAGGCGATGGGACCAGGAGCACAGGAGCAGCGAAAGCAGCAGGAGTGGGGGAAAAGTGAAACGGGGCATAGTGGGGGCCCGGAGGGTAAAGAAAGAGCAAGAAAGAGCGGCTGGCTGGGAAAGAGGCACTCTTTGCTTTGACTGCTTCAGAATAGACAGTAGCAGCTGGGTGGCGGCGGCGGTGGGGACACACCCAATTCCTTTGCCAGGGGCGGGGAAGGAGCTGACAGCCCCAGGCTAGCCCCAACTCTCAAGAGTAAAAGCTATAGGGACTGGAACAAAGTCAGGACAGAGAATGGGAGCATCACACTGACGCTAGATCTTACATTTGTCCATTCTCTCAATTGTGAAATAGGGGTTACAGAATTTTTTAGAGTCCAAAGGAACTTTCAAGCCTTCTCGTTTTACAAATGTGGATACTAAAGTCAGAGGTCCAAGTCACATAGCTAGTAGGACAAAGAAGTGGAATTGGAGCATTTTGACTCCCAATCTGGTATTCCTTACACCCCGCCATCCTGTCTGCTTAAGGTTTCTGTCGCATTCTAATATGCCAGAAACCGGAGCCAACTGGCATGACAACCCTTCTGTTTCAGTTATAAGAGAAGTTGAAGAATTCTTCCCACAGCGTGATTAAAAGTTTTGCTTTTTAAATAATGTTGAAATAAGACTGTGAGAAGAAAATTGGAGTAGGAAGTAGGAGAGAGGCAAAATATGGATAAGATATATGGTCCCTGGGGTCATGGAGCAACCAATCTAGAGAGAAGACAAACAATAATGACTATCATACAAAATATTACATGATCAGTACTCTAGAAAAGTGCGAAGTATCAATGTGAAGTCTAAAAGGGGAGGGAGATTATTACATTTGCGCACTGTATGTGGTTACTGAAAAGGAAGGGGTAGGAGGAAGAAAAACTGCTTTTATAAATCCACTAAGTCAGCTGGATAGAAAGTACTGTTTTGTTGTTCTTCTTGTTGCTGCTGGTTTCAATCACATCCAGACTCTTCATGACCCCATTTGGGGTTTTCTTGGCAAATATTCTGGAGTGGTTTGCTATTTCCTTCTTCAGTTCATTTTACAGATGAGAAAACTGAAGCAAATAGCGTTAAGTGACTTGCCCAGATCGTGCTGCTAAAAGAGTCTGAGGATGGATTTGAACTCACCTCTTCCTGACTCCAGGCCCAGTATTCTATCCACTGCACTCTATCTCAGAGAGAGTGTCCATAGCACAGCAAAAATAGTAGTATAAAGACACCCACCAGTTCAGGAGGAAACAAAATCTAATGATGGAGCCAATGACAAAACCAATGACTTCAGAGGGCTATATAAATGCACAAAATGTAATTAACAGCAAACTGAACTAGAAATCCTAAAGCAAGAAAGATCAAGAAGACTTGGTGGGGGCAGAGCAGTTTGTAATATGCTTCTGGAAAGGTAAAACTTTTCAAATAGAACAAGATAGGTAAGAGTGAAGAAGGTGTAGAATAGCATCAAACATTAAACACACACACACACACACACACACACACACACACACACACACACACACACACACACACACACACACACACCCCCAACTATGTAAGTAAATCCAGGAACCACACTGGGAAAGCCTAGTGATTTGAATAAAGCTCAACCCAGGCAGAAAGGGAAGTGATAATCATCAGAATAAATCATGGACCATATAGACTGAAGAATGAAATAAGTGAGTAGTTGAGTTCTGGAAGCAATCACAAGCCAGGTAGTTAGATAGTGTACTGGATAGAGTGCTGTGCCTGGGGTCAGGAAGGCTCATTTCATCTTCCTGGGTTCAAATTTTCTTGGTAAAGATACTGTAGTGGTTTGCCATTTCTTTCTCCAGGCCATTTTACAGAGGCAAACAGGGTTAAGTGATTTGCCCAGGATCACACAGCTAGTAAGTGTCAGGCCAGGTTTGAACTCAGGAAGATGAGTCTTCCTGACCCCAGGCCCAGCACTCTATCCACAGAGCCACCTAGCTTTTTACATATTATTTTACATACTAAAATCTATGACCACTTTGCAAAGTACTATTATGATTAGAAGAAAATAAAAGACTATTAATAAATTATATATCTACTCTCTTTTTGTGCAAATAATGAAAGAGTATTGATTCAGGGTATAATTATTATCTAGAATGAACTGTGCTCATCACAAGTGTGAAGCATATTAAGAACGGATACATATCTGTACACAATCTGCAGCATTTTTAATTGGCATAGCATGCATTATATATGTGCAACAAACCTTTGCTTAAATTAAAACACAAAATTTATTTCCCGGCGTAGAGCATTTGGTATATAGTAGGCTGTCTGGGTGGAGGAAGTCATCCCAGGTGTCAAAGGAGATCATCAATATTCATTGAAAATTTCAAAAGCACAGCAACTCAATGGGCATCTTTCTCCCTTTGTTTGTTCTCAGAGCTCCAATTAACACTTATCTTCAATGCACATGTGCAAAACAAGGTAATGGGTAAATATATGCACTGAATTTATCAAGCTGGAGAAAGTACATGTAAGTTTCTTCCTATGATAGACTACAGAGGTAGCATGATATACAGTAAAACAAAAGCTGAGCTTGAGGCTGGGAAGACCCAATTCTTTCACACTGACTTTGTGGCCCTGGATAGGCCACTTTACCTCTTAGTCCATGCGGCAGTTCTCTAAGAGCAATATCCTACAGCGTTCCCTAATCTCCATTGGTAGAAGAGTTTCTTCCCTGGGAATTCCCTACACCAATCAAATGGTAGGTTTGGATTTCCCCTAAATAAAGATAGATTCCTAATTTACACTCCAAATGGTAGTTTCTTCCTTTCTAATTAAAGAAGAAGGACGATTTTTGCTTTTAACTTTTATGTGCATTTTATCTTCGTTTTACATTTAATATTAACGAATAGGTGATGAAAACTCTGACTAGAACAAGAGAATGAGAGCTGGCTGGATTGCTTTAGGGAATGTATAATGTTCTTTCAATTAAAATCAGTTTCACCTCAGAAACAAAAACTCTGTATTCTTCTGGTGATGTTGCATGGCTTAGAATTTCCCAAAGCAGGGATATGCTGGAGCCAGTTCCAACCAGCATGTTAGGGTCAATTGTTAAATTTCACCTGTGAGCATTTACACCTTGGAAATTGACAAATGTTACAAACCAGGCCTTGATTTATTGTTTTGTTGGTTGCCTAGACTTAAGAAAGTAATGGAGAAAATGTTAATAATTCAAATTAAACTGTGCAACCACGAATAGATAATTTAACTTCCTAAACCTCACTTTATTTGTAAAATAGTAAATACTTATAGTACTTATTTCATGGGATTATTATGTGGATCAATGGAGATAATTTATGAAGGTCTAGCATATGATAAATTATGAAAGGTAGCCTAGCATACGACAACCTATGAGAGGCAGTTTGGCATAACGAATTAATTGGTCTAGTGTCAGGAAGATCTAGGTGCAAATCCCACCTCCAAAATTTGCTACTTTTGTGATCATAAGCTAGTTGCTTAAACTTTTTGCAAACTCTCAGGCAACTCTTTGATTTAAATGAGCTATAGACAAAGTGTGATCTATATCTCTAGAGGGAGTTCCAAAACCAACAGTTAAAAATGGGTAAGATTCTGAAAAGATTCAAATTTTAAAAGGTATATTGGCAGGTTAGAATACCTCCAAAGGAAGGTTAATTAGAATATTTTGGTGGGTTTGTGGAACCATGTCACAAAAAATATTTGAGGGAAAACATAGTACAGTGTAAACAACATCAGCTTTGGATTCAGAGCACACAGGTTCAAACCTAACCTCAACTACTGCTGCCTGGATGGTGTTTTCATTATCTACTGTCACTCGCCTCATGGTTTGAAATGCTTCTGAGGTATGAATAAGTGGGGTTAATGATAAATCAAGCCCCCACATTTACTATTTATTGTAGACTGAAACAGCAAACAAGTATCTATTAAGCACTTACTGTATGCCAAGAATTGTGCCTAGGAAAACAAAGAAAGACAAACATATGGTCCTTGCCCTCAAGGAACATACATTCTAATTGGGGAGACAACATATTTTAAATTGTATAAAATAAAATACATAGTATACAAAGGAAATCAATTCTATTGAATGGCAATTATAAAATATTATTTAAACAAATTCACAGATCCCAGTATAAAAATCACTGATTTAGAGGTATGGAAGAGAAACTAGTTTGAGTTTTTACAATTTTTTCTACTGAAGTATACATGATGTCTAGTTAGCTATCTAGTTACCTAATGGTAATATATGGTTTCTCCAGTTGTACTTCCAATATACTATTTTATAAGTCCAACATCAATAAAAAATATTCTAGTGACATTTGCTGTAAGGTAAATGCATATCTACATTGCACTTCAGCATCTTATTTCCTAGCAATAATATTTTACCTCTTCATGTAAAAATAGATTCTTCTTATTACTTGGAAAGTAGAAAATGAATAAGAGCAAATTTACCCCACTCTTGACTAATTGCTTAAGTTATGGACATGATTGATTACTAGGTAGCTATCGAGCTTCCTGATAACAATAGTGGGTTTCTCCACATCAGATTTTGGCATTCTAGAAATTTAAATCAATCCCTTATCAATAGAAATTCTTAAGCAACTAAATTACCAGCAAAAAAAAATCTGACTTCTTTAGCTACAAACAGATGCCTCTTGATTTCTAGTGAAAAATTAAGCAAAATGAAGTAAAAGAGTTGGATTTGCCCACATGCCCCATAGTGATCGTGGCTTTTGCTACTATGTTTCTTGGGATTTGCATGAATGCCACACTCCAATAAGTCTCTAGCATGGTACTTGGAGAAATATTGGTATCTAATTGTATTTTACTTCATTAGCTTATTTCCAACAATAATATTTCACCCCATTACTTAGAGTTGTTGTTCTATTTTGAGCAATGTAAAACAATTCAGAGCAAATAATCAGGATGTTGTACAGCGTATGTATGATCTCACATCAAAAGGAACTCGACGATGACGCTTGATTCAGTGTCAATATATAAATAATTTCTATTTCAGTTACATGTTTTATAATAATATCTCAATCCATTAGCTAAAAATAAATCCTTTGTTTTGTCTTGTTGTTCAGTCATGTCCAA